CCACTTTCTCTTTCAACTCTGGCATGAAACTCCTTAAAAGCTTCAAGTACCTGATCTTTATGTTTCAAAACAAAAGCCCACACTTTTCTAGAAAAATCATCAATAAAAGTCACAAAATATTGTGCACCACGGTGTGATCTAGCATCCATAGAGCAAACATCAGTATGAACAAGATCTAAAGCATGCTTTCTTCTATGTGGGGGACGAGTATAAAATGCAACTCTATGTTGTTTTCCAGCCAAACAATCAACACAAGAGTTTAAAGGCATACCTGAAATGTCGGGGAGATAATCTTTCCTGGAAAGGATGTGCATGCCCTTTTGACTCATGTGGCCAAGCCTCTTATGCCACAAATCACCGGAGGCATCATCTGCTACATTGGCATCTCCGCTACATACTCTGGCCTGCATAACATAAAGTGAATTCTGCTTCTTACCTCGAGCCATAATCAAACTGCCCCTGGAGAGTTTCCATCTTCCATCACAAAAGTTGTTGGCATAACCTTCATCATCAAGCAGACCAGCTGAAATCAAACTCAATCTGATATCTGGGCCGTGCCTCACATCCCTGAGCACTAACCTGCAACCAGTGGAAGTCTCTAAACAAACATCACCCATACCGACGATCTTGGACGAACCATCATTTCCCATCCTCACATAGCCAAAATCACCACTAGTGTAGGATGAGAAGTACTCCCTGTGTGAAGTAATATGATAAGATGCACCAGAACCAATCACCCAGGTGCAGTCATCACAGGCTACATTTAATAGTCCATGATCACCGATAACAAACAAATCATCATCACTAGATGCCAAGGCTGTAGTGTTCTTCTCTTCTGGCTTCTGCTCGGAATTCTCATTTTTATCTTTTCTCTCCCTGGACATATCTCTTTTCTTCTTTCTGCAGAATCTCTCAATGTGACCCGGCTTCTGACAATAATGGCAAATAAAATCTCTCTTTCTGGATTTGGATCTACGATCCCCCTGGACTTTTCTCTGTAATGAGGATTTCTGCTCTTACTTCTCCCCCTGCTAGATTCTGGAATCACATTTGCTTCAGCTTGGCTAGGGTAACCTGATTCTTTCCTCCTAGCCTCTTCATTCAAAAGACTAGCCTTGACCATCTCCATAGTCATCTTGCCATCCGGAGCAGAGTTGCTAAGTGAAACCACCAATGTATCCCAACTGTCGGGCAATGAGGAAAGCAATAACAAAGCTTGAAGTTCATCCTCCAATTTCATCTTCATTCCGGCTAGTTGGTTTACCACACCTTGAAACTCGTTCATGTAAACCACAATGCTATCACCATCTTTGTATTGCAATTTAACAAGCTTCCTAATCAAAGAAGCTTTTCCCATAGCATTGTTCCTCTCGTACATGGATTCAAGTTTCTTCCACATCTCAAAAGCATTAGTTTCATTAGCAACATGTTGCAACACACTTAAAGAAACATATTGTCTGATTGATGCAATAGCTTTCCGATTCAAGGTAGTCCAAGCTTTCTCATCAACACCTGTTGGACGTTCTTTATACAAAATTGGGTCAAGCAAATCTTTAGAGCATAAATAATCCTCAATACGAATTTTCCAAATTGAATAATTCGTAGAGTCCAAACTAACCATTCCTTGAACAATTACTTTGTCATCCATCATAAACAACACAAGAAGCCAACCAAAAANTACATGGATTCAAGTTTCTTCCACATCTCAAAAGCATTAGTTTCATTAGCAACATGTTGCAACACACTTAAAGAAACATATTGTCTGATTGATGCAATAGCTTTCCGGTTCAAGGTAGTCCAAGCTTTCTCATCAACACCTGTTGGACGTTCTTTATACAAAATTGGGTCAAGCAAATCTTTAGAGCATAAATAATCCTCAATACGAATTTTCCAAATTGAATAATTCGTAGAGTCCAAACTAACCATTCCTTGAACAATTACTTTGTCATCCATCATAAACAACACAAGAAGCCAACCAAAAAATAATCAAGCTCTGATACCACTTTGTTGGGGAAGCACGGAACAAAACACAACGGAAGCGTATAAAATCTTTTCCCCAAATTAATGAGATGAACAACAAAGTACAATATACTCCAAAAAATCAGCACCACCACCACAAATAGATAGCAAAGGAAAATAAAATAAAGAACACACGATTTACGTGGAAACCCCAAATCGGGGAGAAAACCACGGCCGCTCAACAATGGCTCCCAAATTTCCACTAATCCCCAAGAATCAAGTGGGTACAACAAGTTCTCCTCTCTAGTAAACACTAGAGGCATACACAATCATCAAGGAGCAACCTTGGAACAACAACAATCAACAATTCACCAAAAATGAAGTAAAAACTCCTAAAAAAACGCAGGTCTGAAAACGCAGCCAGAAAATAGCCTTCTGGGCATCAAAATGAGAATCTGACCGTTGGATTTGAAGAGGAGTATGTGAGGAACAACATACTAAAATTTGAGAACGATCGGACTTCGTTTGGCCTTCGATCCGGAGGTGAAAAGTTGCTGCTGTAGAGAGTGGCGGAAATCTTCTTTTTCTCCCTCTCTTCCTGCGTTAGCTACTGCCAGTGCCCTCTCACCTCTTCTTTTTTGTTTTTTTTACTCCCCTTATCTCTCTCTTTTTTTTTTCTTTAGTTAGTAGCCACACAAGATGGGCCACCAAAAAAATATTTGGGCTAAAGCTTTACACATAAAAATAAGCCCAAATACAAAAGAGAGATATAATGTGTTGTTCAATTAAAATTGAACACTTCCTCCATGTAGGAGGGAAATTTCCCAACAGCTATTTCCTCTGATGGGTAATGAAAATAAGCTAATAAAATAAATAAAATTTAATTTTATGAATATTGAAGAGAAAATTAATTTTAATTTTTGGAGCGAGAAAGTAAATTTTTGGAGGGAGAAAGTAAAGTACATAAAATCACGTCAAATTATAATAAAAAAAAGGAAAGGGGACGTTCTTTGAATGGGGCGATAGACATGAGTTAAATCAAATGGCCCGACCAGAGGCTATTATTAATGTATAATTAGATAGCTAAGCAATGTTTTGATTTCCCATTCCACCCCTACGTATGGTCCCCAACACAAAGTATCCAGCGAGGGCAGTTTGGGAATTTAGAACCCAAACCGCGCGCCTACCCATAACTCATTCTCAATTAAGTCCCCAAACCCAACTATAAATTCTATATATATTTCCTCCCCCACCCCCAAAAGCAACTCGATCATCACTTTAAATTCTAAAATTTTATTTAATTATCATCATCATCATTATTGTAATTAATTATTATATACTATATATATAATTACCAGCAACTCCAGCTACACCCACACGCACGCACATTGCATATATACAACTGGGATGCCGGAGTATATATATAATAATACGAAGAAGGGAGGCGGCGAAAGCGGCGGAGGTGCGGAGGAGATGAGGTACGAGAGCTGCGGGTGCGGCGGCAGCGGCGGCGGAAACTTGTTCCAGAGAATAGGGAATGTGGTGAGGGAGCAGCGGGCGAGATTCTATATTGCCCGCCGGTGCGTTTTGATGCTCGTTTGCTGGAAAGACTGCACTGATTCTTGATTCACTACTCATTCTCAGCTAGCTAATTGTAATTAATTAAGCTAGTTTATTAATTTCTGTGATTCTGATTCTTCATTGTATACTAAACCCAGCGGTCATCACTTTTTAAAGGAATTAATTTTGGATTGTTTTCCCATTAACTGCCGTTGTATGTGTCTAATTCGTTAGTATTTACGTAATTTCTTAATAAGTTTTGATAAATAGGGGAGAAAATACAAGTAATTAAATTTCTTCTTAGAGTCAATAGACTCTTCTTCAAGTGAGTTTGGATATATAGTTCCCACAAATTGCCTCAGCTAGATTCTATTGTGGGGAAACCGAAATGCAATGGTAATTCACTTCTGACGGAACATATTCAAGAAAGATTAGATAGAACTAAAACATAAAAAAATATACTCTCTCCGTGTCCCATAAAGATATGAACGGTTTCACTAAAGTGGTAAAATAAGGAGGGATAATTTTGTGTTGACTTTCCAAAAATACTCTTGATGTGATGGGTAAAAGTAGGATGTGATATGTAGATTATTAGGAAAAATGTATGATGTGATAGGTATGGTATGAAAAAGTAAGGAATAAAAGTAGTTTTTTAATAGAAATGGAAATGACTTTAAGGGACGTAATTTTTTTGAAACGAGAATAACGTTATGGGACAGAGGGAGTACAGTACTAAAATACAGGATTTTAATGTTTTAGTTTTAAAATACCCCGGAGTAAGAGTTAAAATGCTACAATGTCAATTATTATCATAAATATTATCAAAAAGTATTATGAAATGTTCATATACAATTCTATATTACCACAATGCAAACTCCTATTTTGAGGATGCAAACACAAAGCTTTGATTTTGATATTTTATCTATGTTTTTGTTCTATTTAGAATTATTCTTAACATAAAAGAAGGCATATTCTTCTGTGGTGCTAAGGTCCAGGCTCATTTTATGGGTGTTCATACTATAAAAGAATTGAGCCTTGGACAAAAAAAGAAAATATTAATTTGGCAACCCATAAAAAAATGTGATAAGGTCAAGACCACATGTAGAACTTAAGACTACGGTAGGGAAGAACAACACCATAAAGGAATGTGATTTAACCATTTAAAACAAATCTAATGACACTTTTAATTTTTTTTATTGTGTATCGTAATACCACTTGTCTCTAAAAAATGTAAACTTACAGTTTGACTTCACATAATTTAAGAAAAAATTTAAAAGTGATTATAGTTAAGTGAAAACTCAGTACTTCTTTTGTTTTAGAGTATTTATCCAGTTTTTGCAATCAAAATTAATAAAATTTGACTATTAATTAAATAAAACTTATATTAAATATTGATACAATAATAATTTTATCAGATTTATCTTGTAAAATATTTTTAAAATATTTCTTTATCTGATTGATAGAGCATGTAATTTGTATTTATTTAGATGTCAATGATTAATTTGGATTGATTGCAAAGAGTTAAAAGTGGACAAATTTACTAGAAGGAAGGAAGTAGTGTATAGTTGAAATTGATTTGGAACAGAGAATTAAAGATGTCCGTATATTTATTTTTTTAAAAGAAAATAAAAAAGTGCAAAGTAAATTAGTTTCTACTTTCTAGACATTAAAAAAAGAAAAGCATTCTTCAAAAATATTTTTGAAGTTCTTTCAAAGACAAATAGAGTAAATTTTCAACTCTTCAAAAATCTAAACAAGAAACTTTTATTCAAATGAGGAGGTAACTATGTGAGCTAGTGGCATATTATTTAATTTGTGCCTATGTATGATTTGTACTCCCACCGTCCCTAAGTGTTTGTCCACTTTCATTTTTGCACACTATCCAATGCACTTCTTTAATCCATTTTATCTTGTAATTTGTAAATTAAAAAATTATAAAAATTATATATTAATAATCTATATGTTAAGACGAATCAAACAAGATCACACATGACTATTTTTAGGCTTACACATTGAGAGAATTTGATGAGTCAAAGTGCTTAGATGAACAGTTCCAAAAGTCAAAACTGGACAAACACTCAGGGACGGACCAAGTATGATTTTTTTAAATCACGCATGATCTAATTTGCATGGTTGTGATACAATTTGATAATAATTAGTNTATTATTTAATTTGTGCCTATGTATGATTTGTACTCCCACCGTCCCTAAGTGTTTGTCCACTTTCATTTTTGCACACTATCCAATGCACTTCTTTAATCCATTTTATCTTGTAATTTGTAAATTAAAAAATTATAAAAATTATATATTAATAATCTATATGTTAAGACGAATCAAACAAGATCACACATGACTATTTTTAGGCTTACACATTGAGAGAATTTGATGAGTCAAAGTGCTTAGATGAACAGTTCCAAAAGTCAAAACTGGACAAACACTCAGGGACGGACCAAGTATGATTTTTTTAAATCACGCATGATCTAATTTGCATGGTTGTGATACAATTTGATAATAATTAGTCTTATTAAATAATAAAAATTTCACCCTAATATATTAGAAAATATAAGTGAGAATCTTAATCATAGTATAATAATAACTATAGAAGTAATAGACTGAGAAAAGTAAATAAACTAAGTAATAATAATATTTGTTTCCTATTATCTCTATTATTCTTAATATCCATCTGCAAGTTTTGATCATTGGTAAGGAGGAGCAGCTTCAGCACAAAGGATTGGAAACAAAACAATGCACAAACTAATTAATTTACACTCATTTCACATATACACACATAGATATCATAAATGCAGGCCACCCAATATTTTACTCCATCCGTTTCTTAAAACCTTTTATCTTTCATTTTTTTTGTTTTTCTTAAAACACTTCCCTTTTTTATTAAAAAACCACTTTTACCCCTACTTTTTCATACTCTACCTATCACATCATACTTTTTCACTAATAACTAAACTATCACATCTTACTTTACCCATCACATCAGGGGCAAAATTGGAAAGTCAACTAGAATTACACTTTCCTTATTTTTCCCCAAAGTCAAAAGAGGAACCGTTTTGAGAAACGAAGGGAGTATATTTTATGATGTAAAAAAAATCTGCCAACATTTCTTCATTATACAAATGGTCTTTCTTTACTACATCCTAACCCATTCTTAAAGCGCCACCCTCACTAGATATTTCATTTCATTTTCTTTAATCTATCAAAATTTTGGCAGCATATCCTAATGGTTCTTCAAGTGCACGATGTAATATAGTTACGTATGCACCCGAAGAACGCATTTTAGAAACATCAAAGCAAAAAAATGATAAAACAACGAAAACAAAATACATTCACGACCTAAGTGAGGGAAGCAGTTCAAGAATACCTCCAAACTTAGAGCTATTTAAAATTTACTCCTAATGAGTAAATTTTAAATTGGTATCTAGGTCGGTCAATATATATCATTTCTATATTATAGAATCTCATATCATGTAGCCGCAAACAAACAATAAACAATGTACTCCGGTATATTCTAATGTACTTTTAAAATATCTTATGTCAAACAAATAATACAAACACAAAAGCAATTAAAATTTAACTTAAATTTCACAATATCACAATATCACAAACAATGAGGAGGTAACTATGTGAGCTAGTGGCATATTATTTAATTTGTGCCTATGTATGATTTGTACTCCCTCCGTCTCTAAGTGTTAGTCCACTTTCATTTTTGCACACTATCCAATGCACTTCTTTAATCCATTTTATCTTGTAATTTGTAAATTAAAAAATTATAAAAATTATATATTAATAATCTATATGTTAAGACGAATCAAACAAGATCACACATGACTATTTTTAGGCTTACACATTGAGAGAATTTGATGAGTCAAAGTGCTTAGATGAACAGTTCCAAAAGTCAAAACTGGACAAACACTCAGGGACGGACCAAGTATGATTTTTTAAATCACGCATGATCTAATTTGCATGGTTGTGATACAATTTGATAATAATTAGTCTTATTAAATAATAAA